AGAGAGAGAGAGAGAGAGAGAGAGAGAGAGAGAGAGAGAGAGAGAGAGAGAGTTGTCATTGAGACTTGGTGACATTCGGGCATTGCCCAGTTGAGTGACATTGCGACTTGACATTGTGTGGGCAGCGAGATTGGGGATACATTGGAGACTGGGTCCATCGGGCTATGGTGACTGATCCTCCCTATCTCCCTCTTCCTCCTCTGTCTCCTCTCCCTCTTTTTGAGTGATGATGTATGCTGTCAGGTCCTGTCATTGATCATGCTGAGTCAGATCTTGGTATTACAGTCTTCCGCTATGCTATTTTTGTATTGTCTTTGAGAGGTCAGTTCTCGGTTCTGATCGATACCGATTAGGCATGCGCCACGTTCTGTTCGGGTGAAGATGGGAGAGATGCTTCCATTGATAGAAGATATACGGGTCTCAATAGTAAAAAGGTAAAACTTCGTTTGAAATGGCATGAATGTGTCAGACTGTTTTGTTGGACTTCCAGTGACTCATCAGGAGGTTGACCCCCAACAGTCTGCCCATGATGCATTTGACTGATGGATAAGGAGGACTCACTACGTCGCCCAGAGTTAGCGATACCCATCCCTGAGAGAGAAAAGTGGTCGACTTTACTCACACCAATCTGCAATCCTAGCAGACTGTCGGTCCAAACCCCTGACAAGAATGGCAGTATGTCTGAGAAACTAATCTGACACAGGCTCACACAACCATAAAACCCTGTCTGTGTGTGTGTGTGTGTGTGTGTGTGTGGGGGGGGGGGGGGGGGGGGGGGGGGGGGGGGGGGGGGGGGGGTTTCTCTGGCAGGAAAAGCCAGATGCGCATTGTTCGCCATTGCGATGGCTGTGAACGATTCTGGTTCGGTTGGTAGCCATGGCAGTAGCCTGGGCATGTGCTTCGATTCTCTGTCTAGGGAGCAGCTGGAGTGGAGTCGTATGGCACTGCAGTCGATGGAAAACCAGATCACCAGACTGTCAGAAGGTCAGAATCTCGTTTCCGAATTCAATGAGCTGGAGGCAGTGACAGAGTGCATCGAGTTCTACAACAAAGCAGGTGGTCGCTCCGAGGGTCTTCTTGCGGAAAACACGAAGCGGAACCGATACTGCAATGTGATACCATTCGATAGGACCAGGGTTAAACTCGGAGCAAGAAGCCGTCCTGTCACTCCAAGAGTAAGGTCGGATGCATTTTCCACGAAGAACGGGTCTGCAATGGGGAAAAATAATGAGCAGGGAGCGAAGGATGGCTCCACTAGAGGGGGGGGGCATAGGTCAAGACAAGATTTCTCATCCTTTCCTTTCCATGGCCAGCCTACTGTGAAAGGCGACACAGGCTTGGCTATAGAGAATAGACTCGATAGTGTCAAGAATGGACCGGATAACACATGCAATAGCCAATCTGTAGAGAGCAGGCTGGGTATGGATATGGCTTCCAAGGATGGGCGAGCCATCGAGATGTCATCTTCGGCGGTCGATGTGGAAGCCGTATTGAACAGGTTGTTGCACACTGCTGTGCCGACAACCGTGGATGTAGGTGTAAGGGAGGCTTCGTGTGAGAAGTCGGCATTGCCTATGCCATTGGATGCTTCGACAGCAGCAAAGGATGGCATGACTTCAAAGGATGCACGAGCTGTCAAGAAAGCATTACTGGCTGCAGAGGCCACGGGGAATGACTCGTGCAGTGCTGTCGGGGCAACAACAAACCTTGGGGGTACCGTAGATCCTGGTGGTGAGGAGGCATCGTGCGAGAAGTCGGCATTAGCTCTTATGCCATTGGATGCTTCGACTGCAGCAAAGGATGGCATGGCTTCGACGGATGCACGAGCTGTCAAGAAAGCATTATCGACAGCAGAGGCCACGGGGAATGACTCGTGCAGTGCTGTCCGGGCGACAACAAACCTTGGGAGTCCTATAGATCCTCGTGGCAACAGGGATTTACCACCAGCTATGGAGGCTACGCCGAGAATGAACGATGATGCTATGACTTTGAAAGATGCACAAGCTATGGATGGTTTGTCGTTGACACTGGGCCCTGTCCCATCCATGGACCATGTGGTACCGGAGGAGGCGGCAGCGCTGAGAAAGGACAGTAAGAAACCTGTCAATTGTGCATCGTCTGTAGGGGAGGCTAGGCAACCGAAGAAGGATTCCTTCAGAACGTTGGAGCATCCGCCGCTGGCCGTGGTTTGGAATTGCTCATCGGATTATATCAATGCGAGTTATGTTCGAGAGGAGAAGTGTCCGAGGCTTCCGGTGTACATTGCCACTCAGGGACCTTTACGCTCTACGGAAGTCGACTTCTGGCAGATGGTCGTGGAGAACGATTGCAACGCAATAGTGATGCTTACGAAGGAGTTTGAAGGAGGGCGTAACAGATGTCGGCGATACTTTCCTATCGACGAAAATGAACGAATTGTCTATCCAGCGAGTCACCTGTCGATTACCACCAAGGTGAAGAAACTTATGGGACCAATTGTGTACAGAGAACTGGAAGTAGCGCAATTAACACCGGCAGGAACGTATTCTTTTGTTCTGACGACCGTCCACCATTACCAAATTCTCAACTGGCCGGACCATGGGACTCCTCTGTCTTCTAGTCCTTTGCGGGCGCTGATCCGACAGTTCCGCGTCTTGCCTCTACTCGGTGACAGCCCGCTGGTTGTTCACTGCAGTGCTGGGATCGGGAGAACAGGTGTCTACATTGTTTTGGATTACACATTGCGGAGGATTTTGAATGGCGACTTGGGAGCCGTGGACGTTATGGAGACGGTTCAGAGGCTCCGGGCCCAGCGGCCCGGAATGGTGCAAACAAAAGAACAGTATATGTTCTGCTTCGAGGCAATCCGGGAGGAACTGATGGAGCTGGTAATGCGGACAATGGCAAATAACACAGTAATGATGGTGTCAAACCAGTCAAATTCATAAGAGATCGGAAATCGCATATTTAACCACCCCGAGAGGCGGTTAATGGAAGGCCCAAAATTCGGCGAATTTTGGCGAATTTTTCAACGAAACTTTCATATGGCCTTCCATTAACCGCTTGTGCACGATCAATACTGCGAGCTGTTCTCCGCCACGACACGGGTTGAAGCAAAACATCATGCAGCGGTCTATTACAATCACCAACTTGCGTAGCTCAGTTGGTACACCAATGAACTGTTTCTTTGCGGATTCGGGGAGATCTCGGCGAGCGCAGTCCAACCATGTTTTCAAAAAATAAAAGAAAATAAAAATTGACCCACTTTTGGGCCCAACCGGAATTCCGGTTGGACCACCAGGGGTCCAGCCGGCCTGGTTGGCTCTGGCCCCGGTTGCCGGCACAACCCTGGGAAAAGACCAAAATGGGGCGGGTCATAGTTGCGACGCACCTCGGTGCGCGGATTTGCGCACGAACTGCGCACCGCACAGCGCACCAAAGCGCAGCGCACTGGAGAAATTAGGTCCACGAAAAAAAAAAAAAAAAGAGAGTAGGTGTTTTGTAATTCCTTAGGACCCCCAACTCGGCAAAAATGTTTACCTCACCGCGCGAGCTCAGATACCGTTTTTTTTTTTTT